TTGTGTCCTTGGGAAAGGCACTTTACACAAACTTCCCACTTGGCTCGGTCCTTTCGGAGACGGACGTTAAACTAGGAGGTCCCGCTCCTTAAATAACCTAATAGTGTTGATAGGGGCGTTAAACCTATACCATTTCACCATTTTTTCACACACACACGCACACTCACACACACACACACACACGCGCGCGCACACATACACACGTCCGGGTGGAGCTTTGAGGTAACTGTCATCATAAACTGTGGTGATGTGCAATGTCGTTTATGTCTGGATTGTTCGGCAGTTTTGTGCAGACAACAAGCAGGATATGGAGGCGTGGCGCGACGCCATCGTAGCTGTCAGCGGGGAACTGCCGCAAGATGATGTAGATGGTGAGTCGACTGTGGGCGGCCAGAGGGTGGGTGACGACATTTCTGACAACTAATCCCCCCCCCAGGGCAGTGCTACTTACTGAAGTTGTGTTTAGGCCTTTCCCAAAAGGGATGGGGGGGGGGATAGTAACCTGTTCTTATGCATAGTAGAATTGTAAGTGGACTGATTTATCAATGTCATGCTCATACAGTGCTGGAACAACATAGGGGAAACTGCTGCTTTTTCTTTCCTCACCCATACTATCGTTCTGCTGGGATATTGTATCCCTCTGTCTGTCTGCTGGGATATTGTATCTCTCAGAATGTCTGCTGGGATGTTGTATCTCTCAGAATGTCTGCTGGGATGTTGTATCCCTCTGTCTGCTGGGATACTGTATCCCTCTGTCTGTCTGCTGGGATGTTGTATCCCTCTGTCTGTCTGCTGGGATACTGTATCCCTCTGTCTGTCTGCTGGGATGTTGTATCCCTCTGTCTGTCTGCTGGGATGTTGTATCTCTGTATCTCTCTGTCTGTCTGCTGGGATGTTGTATCTCTGTATCTCTCTGTCTGTCTGCTGGGATGTTGTATCCCTCACAGCCCAAGTCTGTCTTTTTCCCCCACAGACGTGTACGAAGCGTTCAACGATGATGCCATGACGTCTGCTGCCCCTCCACCCATCGCCCCCGACAACAGAAGTGAGAAGATTGAAGAGCAGGAGATCATGGAGGCCGACGAGATCTACGAGTTTTTGGAGCCGCCACCACCGATGCTCGAGTCCTCAGCGGGATCCGATCCCCCTCCCCCGCCCGCTTCCCCCCGGCCTCTGCCGCCTATCCAGCCCGCCGCGTCAGTCATTCCCCCCGAGCTCCCGGTGAGGAACACCCCTCTCCCGCCCGTGCCCAAGATCTCTCTCCCCGACATCCCACAGGAGAAAAAGAAGCGGACACCGAGCCTGCTGTCAATGACACACCCCCCGGCTGAGGACTTTGAGAACATGTATCTGGGCGTCTGGGCGTGCAAAGCTACCTCGGCCAATGAGCTGAGCTTTGAGCGGGGCGACATGGTTCACATCATCAACCGAGAGTTGGACAGAGATGATTGGTGGATCGGGGAGCTGGACGGCAAGATTGGCCTAGTTCCCAAAACATTCATGCATCCGGCCTATCAGCTTGTGCCGTAGACAGACATGTCTGGGGGGGGGGGGGGGGGGGTGTCTTGTGGCCTAGAGGTTTAGCTGTTCACCTCTCTTTCAGAGGTCCCGGATTTGAATCCGGGTAGCGACCGAAAAAAATGTTCTTCCCTGAAATTGTCTCCTTTCACATCCTTTCCTTCTCTTTAACAATGTTCTGTTGTCTGATTTCGTCTCCACTTTCTGCCCCCACCTCTGGGCTCCTGACTCTTTCTGTAGCCTTTCTACTGCTTCCCCTTGGCTCCTTCTTTCCGCTGTCTTTCAGCCACACCCTTCATCTTCTTGTAGGAAATATCTACACCTAGCCGTCTTGGACAAGGGTGAAAAATCTCAGAGGTCTCATGTGCAAGTTGCGCATGCTGTTAAAGATCCCTTGGTGTTCTAAAAGCGATAAGAGTAGGCTTCAGCCGCCACCCGAGTAAAATTCCAAATTTCCTACCAACTGAAAATGTTTAGTGTGTTCCACGCGCTCATATTCATATGACCTTATGCAGTTGCGAGCGCCGTAAAACACTTACCCCCCCCCCCCCCCCCCCAAGACATGTCCGACCTATCAGCTTGTTCTGTAGACCTGTCTGGCTGTTGGGTCAGCTCACTGACCGCTCCCTACGCCGCTGGCCATAGACATACCGTAGGAGAAACGCCAAACCAGCACCCCTGCCTATTTCAATTTCTTCACCGTTTTTATACTAGACTCTATTTCCCAATTTACGATGGGTTTTGGCAGTTGCAGAAAGGGAACGTGTTATTAACTCACTTGAGCCTATTCCGGTGTATTTACAGGACGCCCCTCTGGCCCGGTGGCCTAATCCTGTGTATTTACGGGATGTGCTTTATCGATCGATATCTCCGGGGGGTTTTTTCGGTTACAAGCTATGGGAAGCGGTGAGCCAACAGTTTATCCTCTTGTTTCGTTTCATTAGAAATTTGGTAAAGTTATTAGTGAGTTTTCTTTTGTCTCTATGCACATGCTGTTCACATTCTATACATATATTATATATTTATATTTATATATCGTGCGATCAGATTTCTACTCATGTCTTTCTTCCGCGATGCCTCAATCAAAAATTGGTTTAAAGTAAAATTCCCCAAGTTAGAATTGCCTTGATCATACTTGATGTACAGGATTTTGTCTTTGTTGTAGTAATGTTCTGTAATATTGCAACTATAATGATCATATTCTCCTGCAACTCTTTCTGTCTGGCGTTTCATGTTGAAAGTTGTGTTGATAAAAAATGGATGTTACTTTTAGTTAGCGTGACTCAGCAGTCTGCCGGGGCTCCCCGGCTCGGGATCACGGGGTTAATGAACCCTGAAGCGACTTTGCCGATGTCGGTTAAGCTGTAAAATTTTTGTCTACGCTTGAAACCACATAACTTCTTCCCCATCCGACACAGCAAACCATTACGCGGATGTACTAAAAGCTCAATGTCTTGAGATTTATTCTGTGTTAGAATGGTTAATTTCTGTGCCTTAGTTTTTGTTCTAGACAAGTGTTTGTAGAGTACCCATCTATCTGGCAGACTTGTTGGACCCCCCGGGGCAGTGCCACTGACTGTAGTGTCTTTAGGCCATTCCCAAAGGGGGGACATTTCTCGTTCAAGCACAGTAAAATTGTAAATGGGCTGACTCATGTCACGCTCATAACTGTGCCTGATCTGCAACAGGGAACTGCTGCTTTTTCTTTCCTGATCCTTACTAATGTCATTTTCCTCTACTTCTTTTGTATGTTTGTCACTCTCTTGTGACCTGCTATTTCCAGGGTGCCTTGATAGTCGAAGCAGACCTTGTGCTGTTGAAGCTAGAGAGGTGAGCAGTCTAAGTCTGATTCCCTGTAAAGACTTCTCTGTTGACACCCACCCCTTGGCGCTCATATGACCTTATAGTTATGCAGTTGCGAGCGCCGTAAAACCCTGTACTATAAATAATAAAGACTTGTTGACCATTCAGCGAGTGATACGCTCTGCTCTCCTCAAGCCGGACTATTTTCTTGTAGTCTACGTGAGTTGTCTCTTAGTAATAATAATAATATATAACATTTATATAGCGCATTTCCAAAAAAGTAGCTCAATGCGCTTTACATTGGAATACCCATCAAAACCTTTCTTACTACTTCCTTTCTTCTCATGCAATATTTATGCACTCCACACACACACACACACACACACACACACACACACACACACACACACACACACACACACACACACACACACACACACACACACACTTACACACAGACTATTTTCATCCAGACATAGGCACAGAACAACTATAATAAAAAATAACGTTAAAAGCTTCCGCCTGTTTGCCTTGTTTCCAACACACTCCAATGTCGGCCTGTCTGTAATTGTAATAATGGTGCTTTGAAACAGGAAATAAAAATGTGCCTTGACTTTGAAAAACTGACATTTTATTCCGTTGTATGTTTTGTTTCTGGTTTCTGAGGGAGGTATTTATTAATTGGTGACATGAGTGATTGTTTGTGCTCGAGTGTGTACACATCTGTGAGGTGTGTAGTGCATTTTTAGTTTTAGTAAAAGAGTTTTACGGCACTTGCAACACAATAAGGTCATATAAGTGCCGAAGATTAGAGGTGTTACAGTGGAACTCGGATTCAACGAGATCGCCGGGCCTGACCTAAAATCTTGTTGAATCCGAGTGTTCGTTATAGCAAACATGAGGTTTTTTGTAGATAATTACAGGCACTGAGAAAGTAATGTATAAAGAGAAGTCACAAGTACTGCCTGAAATGCCTGCATATTCTGAGCTGTGTAAAAAAAAAAAGATCGATGTGTTCAAATGCACACGCCTGTGTCATCTTGATTGTTTACCAAAAAGTTGTGTTGCTGTGTAGAGCCTAGCCTAGCATACGTCAACTTTAGATTCCATAGACCAGCGCACAATTCATTACGTAGATCTACGTCAAGACTAGCGTATCATGGTAATAACCTTACTAAAACTTAAGAGGTGTTTCTAGAGAGTAACATTAACATACACAAAATAGATGGAGGGGAGATAGAGACGATAGATGTTTGATAGGAAAGAAGGAGCAAACCACACGAGAGCACCCGCCAACCACCCACGTGCGAGTGTGTGAACTGTAAGTATGTGGTGTGTGTTTTATAAGGTGTTCTTATGCCTCCATGGACACAGATTAGATCATTGGTGAGGCAGCGGGGTGGAATCAGGCTCTCATCAAAATAATCAAAGTGTAGGAATTTTTGTTTTTTGGCTCAACACCTTTCATGCCCATTAAAGAACTGATTTCTGTGTCGATTTTCTGAAAAACATTGATTAAAGGCACACAAAATGTAAATGTTCAGTTACTACAGACTCTAAAGCTAAGGAAATAACTCATCTTTGGCAGCCATTTTCTCACCTTTTTACCACTGAAAACAGGCGACCCCCACCTCATTGATTTGCAAATATCTCGACTTGTATTCAAGGTAAATTGATATTTGTTTCATCCAAATAAAGACAAGTGAACAAGCTTTAAGATGATACCAATAACTCTACATGCCCAAAAATTGACGAGAGCCTGATTCCACCGCGCTGTCTCACATTGAATGAGCTTCAACCGTCTGTCGGACTGACCCACGCTGAGACAGTAGCAGACAGACACAACATTGTAGCAGACAGACACAACATTGTAGCAGACAGACAGACTGAGATGATAATTTCTAAAGAGCAATTCTCTCCACTTGAGTCTCTTATGTGGGATGGCGGAGTGCCTTACCACTACACCAGTGGTCTGTGTGTGTGTGGGTGTCTGTGTGTATGAATATTGAATGTGAGTGTGTGTGCGTGTCTGTGTGTACGAATGGGTGAGTGTGTGTGTCTGTGTGCGTGTGTGTCTGTGTCTACGAATGTGTGTGTGTGTGAATGAGTCTGTGAGTGTGTGTCTGTGTGTACGAATGTGTGTGTGTGTGAATGAGTCTGTGAGTGTGTGTCTGTGTCTACGAATGTGTGTGTGTGTGAATGAGTCTGTGAGTGTGTGTCTGTGTGTACGAATGTGTGTGTCTGTGTGTGCGTGAGTGTGTAAATGAAAAAGAAATATTTAAAAAAACCACTTCAAGATGGAAACTTGTGAGGAAAACAGAAATCATTTGTAAAAAAAAAAGCAAAAGTTTCTGGACAATAAATAACTATTTCAAATTGTACCAACAAAACAGCAGTTGAAACAGAACCACAGCCACCTGCTGACAAACAGAAGACACATATATTTTATTACAATTACAAAACGCAATAAGATTCTGGACATTTGTATTTTGTAACCGCATCGTACAGACAGCATCAAAACAGGTTGAAAGTTCGTAATAGTTCTAACAAAATAAACAGGTTGAAAGTTCGTAATAGTTCTAACAAAATAAACAGGTTGAAAGTTTGTAATAGTTCTAACAAAATAAACAGGTTGAAAGTTTGTAATAGTTCTAACAAAATAAACAGGTTGAAAGTTCGTAATAGTTCTAACAAAATAAACAGGTTGAAAGTTCGTAATAGTTCTAACAAAATAAACAGGTTGAAAGTTTGTAATAGTTCTAACAAAATAAACAGGTTGAAAGTTTGTAATAGTTCTAACAAAATAAACAGGTTGAAAGTTTGTAATAGTTCTAACAAAATAAACAGGTTGAAAGTTTGTAATAGTTCTAACAAAATAAACAGGTTGAAAGTTTGTAATAGTTCTAACAAAATAAACACGTTGAAAGTTTGTAATAAAAATAATAAAATAGTTTGAAATCCTGGAGCACTGGTATAGAATACATGATATACGTATAAGGTTCCACACCCCTTCCCATTCTCTTCCTGGTTTGAAAGACAGTTTTTTTCACTGAGGTCACCCACACCAACTGTCAATAGTTTCTGGACCTTGTAGACAAGATGTCATTGACCAGTCACACCAACTGTCAATAGTCAGTCACATCAACTGTCAATAGTCAGTCACACCAACTGTCAATAGTCTGTCACACCAACTGTCAACAGTCTGTCACACCAACTGTCAATAGTTTGTCACACCAACTGTCAATAGTCAGTCACACCAACTGTCAATAGTCACACCAACTGTCAATAGTCAGTCACACCAACTGTCAATAGTCACACCAACTGTAAATAGTCACACCAACTGTCAATAGTCAGTCACATCCCCTGGACAAGAAGTCACTGACCAGTCACATGACACATTTCTCACACAGGATTCTAACATTCCTTTCTACAACCTGTGGGTTTATAAATAACTACGATTGAATTCAGTCAAGGTCAAAGAAAATCCCAGGATAAAAGGGCCAAAACTGGATTTAAAATAACAACAGAGATCGGGATTTTCATTGTATCATTCTACGCGTGACCTTTAGTTCCTCATTAGTCTCCAGGGAAGACTCAGAATAATCACAACACTGCTCAACGCTTTCTTTAACCCTAACCGTACGTCGTGTTTTACTATCATATATCCATACGATTGGGGAACTCTGTGCCACCACTTTCCAAAGAGGAAATTTACTCGTTAATTCGATCCGTACACTTTGCCTGGCAGTCTGTCGAAATGATTTTTTGAGAAATACGGAAAGTTTCAAAGAGATCTTCGCATTGGAAGTATTCTAAAATGTGAAGAATACAAACCCGGGGGTACAAAATCACCACAGGGAGTACGGATAGGGTTAAAAAACTTCCTAAAAATTGTTGCTGGCCCCAGTATTGTAAAAACTTCACACAAGTTAACCCTATCTGTACGCCCCGAGGTTTGTACAAACGACCACCTGTATAAGACAATTGCCTGTACAAACGGCCACCTATATAAGACAATCACCTGTACAAACAGCCACCTGTATAAGACAATCACCTGTACAAATGACTACCTGTATAAGACAATCACCTGTACAAACGACCACCTGTATAAGACAACCACTTGTATAAGACAATCACCTGTACAAACAGCCACCTGTCTAAGACAATCACCTGTACAAGACAACCAATTGTACAAACGACCACCTGTCTAAGACAACCACCGCTCTCCTGCACAACGGGCGTCTGTCTTGCACAAAGTCGACCGTCGAGTATTTCAGCGCAGCAGCTGTGACCTCACCATAGCCCCCATCTAGCACAAAGTCGACAGTGTCCAGTATTTCAGCGCACCAGCTGTGACCTCACCATAGCCCCCAGCACAGAGCGGAATGACTCGGAGAACAGTTTGAAAAAGGAAAGGTCGTCCGGCACGCTCACGTCTGGGGACATCTCCACCAGCAACGACGGCGACGAGCCCTCCCCCTCGCTGACCTTGACACGACAGCCGAACTTGACCTTGGGGAACTTGACCTTCTCCAGCAGTCGTTCATCCACAGGGCGGACCACACAGCCACTGAGGGAGACATCCTCTGACCGGACCACCTCCAACCTGATCAGACTTTCAAGGTCACTTGGTACGTTCCCCGCGCTCACATGCTCCGACAAGTAATGGAAACTCACCGCTTGTTCTAAATGAAAACCCCCCCGACTTTGCGAGCTCTTCAACAGTTTCCTCACGCGCGCCCGGTCCCTCCACACGATGAGAAAGACGCGACACGACAAGCACAGCTCCGACACTTCCTGCTCGCCGCCCCTCGCAGCCACGCCCTCAGTGTCCTCACTTCCTGATGGCCTTGACCCCTCACAGTTTAGCTTCCCGGCGTCGTCCCGCGGAGTGTCACCAGAGATAGGCTTCTCCAACTGCTGGCTTGCCTCACGGTCACCGCAGGAAGGCTCCAGTCGCGACTCGTCTACAGTTTTTGCCAAGTCATCACGAACAGGATTCACCTCACAGCCGACCTGGTCATCACTTCCTGAGTCCTCGTCTCGCCCCTCACCAAGGTCGCTTCGCACCGCCCGGTCCTGTGAACTGACCACAAGACCACTTTGACCGTCGGTCAGAACACGAGCACTGTCATCACAGCACTGTGACTTGTCGCTAGTCTCCATTGCCATGTCCTTGGAGTGGAGGGCGTCGCTTGTGGGCGTGGCACCGGGGGTGGGCGTGGCACTGGGGGTGGGCGTGGCACAGGAGCTGTTGTGAGGGTGACACGCCCACATTGGGTGCACCCCCTCCCTCAGTCTCTTGAGCCGTGTCTGTTCTCCCTTCTCCCCCATATCCTGCCCCTCCCCCTCCTCCTCCTCCTCCTCGCTGCTATCATCATCCCTCACCTCCCAGCGCCTCTTCTGACCACTACCAGACGTCGTCTTGCTACGTTCGTTCGATGATGACTCCCCGTTTTTCCCGACGGCTGAAGGCGGGGAGCTACATTCAGGGTGTAGACCAACCTTCTCCGTCTCTTTCCCTCTGCACGACTCCACTCCTTCCTCCACTCCCCCGCCAGCCCGCCCCACTCCCTCCACACCGTCTTTGCTGAAAGCGTCACTAGCACAAGACCTTCCGGACAACTGGCAAGAAGAACTGCTAGATACACCAGCCCCCTCTCCCCCC